TTTTTTTTTTTTTTTTTGGTAATGTTTGCTTTTGAGGACTAGGCCATAAATTCTTTGTCAAGGCCAATGTCTAGAAGAGTTTTTCCTATGGTTTCTTCTAGGATTTTTATAGTTTCAGATCTTATGTTGAAGTCTTTAATTCATCTTGTGTTAATTTTTGTATATGGTGAAAGCTATGGGTCCAATTTCACTCTTAGGAATATGATTATCCAATTTTCCATATGGGTGTTTAGCCCAACACCATTTATTGAATGGAGTGTCATTTCCCTATCATATATTTTTGCTGACTTTGTTGAAGATCAGTTGGTTGTAGGTATGTGGCTTTATTTCTGGATTCTCTGTTCTGTTCCATTAATCTAGGTTTATACCAGTACCATCCTGTTTTGGTTACTATAGCCTTGTAGTATAATTTGAAGTCAGGCAATATGATGCACCTAACTTTGTTCTTTTCACTTAGGATTTGTTGTAAAACCAATTCTTTATGGGCTATATAAATCAAATAAAATTTTATATCTAAGCAAGTCCTCCAGATTCCTGACCAGGCAAGTAATCCAGTAGCTTGGCAGATTAGGAACAGTAATATGCAAACAGTGAGGGATGCGTAAATCAAGACTGTCATTGTGAATAGAATGATTTGGAAGTTGGGGGTTCAAATAGCTTCATGATAGTTATAGTGAATAACAATGTCAGCTTTAGTATTATTCTAATATTGTACTTGGGTAATGCTAATAGGGTTTGATGGAATACAATGAACACTTTCCAAACAGCTGTATGCTTTCCCAACAAAGGAACTCTATCTCAGAGCAGACTGATATATCATTTCAATGGAAGATTTTAATCAATCCTTTTGTTTTCCCTTTTAGGATATATTTAAATTTGCAAGAACTTCTCCTGTCCCAAGACAAAAGAGGTCCATTGTGGTATCTCCCATTTTAATTCCAGAGAATCAGAGACAGCCTTTCCCAAGAGATGTTGGCAAGGTAAGTCAGGCAAAAAACAAATTACAAAAATGTGTTTTTTATGAAAAAATGAACGCACAGGAAGCAGAGTGAGTATGACTGTCTTGGTGACAAGCTGGAATTAGTCTTCATACCTCTATGATAAGAGACCAAATGGTTTTGTCATAAAAAGAATGTTGGAAGATCATTCATACACAAAAGAGGAAATTTGAAAGAACCAGTAACACTTTTGAATATTATGGAGATCAACATGGTAGATGATGTTGAAATTACGTAGGAAGATGTCATTGGTTGAGAAATAAGGCTCATTGTTTTTATAGATTATATTCAGGTGATCACCAGATAGGGCCTCCTAGGATGGCGGTTTGTTGATATGTGGCCTTCATTGAGATCCTCCTTTTCAAATATCTAGGTCCAAGCATATCACTGGGTTAGTTTTCCAAAAACTAAACCTGATCAAGGGAGTAAAATCATCCTAACCAGATCCAGAACCAGATGTGGAAAACACTGTCCCATGAATCAGAACAATAGCTTTTCCAGGAAGAAATAGTCACCG